CCTGCCCCTCAGCCTCTTTGTGTCACCCCTTTGTGACACAAAGGGCAGGGAGAGGGACGGGGCAGGGACAGCTGCCAAGTTCGAGTAGGAGTGATGGGAGAAGAGGGGGCATGGCAGGAGAAACCTGAGGGGAGCAGGGGGCACCCCAAACTTCCCGCAAAAACACTGCAGCAAAATAAAACTCTAGTAGGCCTTGGAGTGCCGAGCACCCCCTACAAAGTGAAACCAGGAGCCTGGGCTGGTGAGTTTTGTTTCCCAGGGGAAAGGGCCGGCGTTCCTGTCCTGTGGTCCTGAGTCACTTTCTGCCCCCTTAATTTGCAAATGCCACAGAGTTTCTCCCCGACAAAAGCTGCAAGGAGCTACGGCTTTGGCTGGCCTGGCATGGCCAGATCTTTTCTCGGAACTTGTCCCAAGACACTGAAGTCAAAGTGTGGTAAAGAGCACCTTCTGAGGCCCTCAGACCTCCCTACAGGGTCAGAACATGCTCAGCAACACCTGAAACTCCTATAAATAAAATAAATAAAAAAGGGGCAGCGCCACTTCCCCCATCCCAGGCCCCACCAACCCCACCCCAAGTCCTTGTGAGGAGGGGGACTCCAATGACAGAGGGGACAACAGGAGGCAGAGACAGACCCTTTATTGGAGTCGTGCTGGGAGAGCCCAGCAGGCAGAGCCCCCTTGGACGGGGCGGGGGGTTACGAGGGTCGGGGGGCTCGGGAGGACGGGGCTGGGGGCGCTTCAGCTGCGCTCCTCCAAGCTCAGGCGGTCGAACAGGTACTCCCCGAGGCCGGCCGAGGGCCCCGTGGCTTCACCGGCGAGGCGGCGCAGGTTGGTGGCGTGGTCACCCAGCGCCTTGATGGCCTTCACTTGCTCGTCCAGGTAGTGGGACTCCAGGAAGTCACAAAGCTGTGGGGCAGGGGGGGACCAGGCAGCAATGAGGCTCTGGGGGATGGGAGGGGGACCCCCAGGAGATCCCAAGGGGTCCCGCGGAAGAGGGAGCCCCGGGGTGGTCCCAAGTGGGAAAAGGGAGGAATTGGGAGCACTTGGAGCTGGGGAGGGGGGTGTCAGACCCTCGAGCTGGGGAGGGGGAGGTCAGACCCTGGAGGGGCTGGGGAGGGGGAGATCAGACCTTGAGCAATTGGGAGATGGGAGATCTGACCCCTGAAGAGCTGGGGTGTAGCTATGATATTTTATGAAATAACTATCTGCTGCTGTGGAAGGCCACAGGTGCATCTTTCATTGGTCCATGTGGATTGTTTTCAATCAGTGACCAATCACAGCCACCTGTGCCAAGGCTGGGAGCAGTCACATGATTTTTGTTATTAATTTCTATTCTATTCCTGTCTTTGCAGCCTTCTGATCTTCTTCTCTCTGTTCTTTTAGTATAGTTGTAATGTAGTATTTTAGTATCTTAAAATAAGTCAGCCTTCTGATGAAAATGGAGTCAAACCTCGTGTCCTCACACGAGGGGTTGTCAAGACAAGAGTGGGGGGTGGGAGATCAGACCCCTGAAGAGCTGGGTGGTGGGAGATCAGACCCTGGAGGAGCTGGGGAGGGGAGATCAGACCCCGGAGGAGCTGGGGAGGGGAGATCAGACCCTGGAGGATCCGGGGGTGGGAGATCAGACCCCTGAGGATCCGGGGGTGGGAGATCAGACCCCGGAGGAGCTGGGGAGGGGAGATCAGACCCTGGAGGATCCGGGGGTGGGAGATCAGACCCCGGAGGAGCTGGGGAGGGGAGATCAGACCCTGGAGGATCCGGGGGTGGGAGATCAGACCCCGGAGGAGCTGGGGAGGGGAGATCAGACCCTGGAGGATCCGGGGGTGGGAGATCAGACCCCGGAGGAGCTGGGGAGGGGAGATCAGACCCTGGAGGATCCGGGGGTGGGAGATCAGACCCCGGAGGAGCTGGGGAGGGGGAGATCAGACCCCGGAGGAGCTGGGGAGGGGGAGATCAGACCCCGGAGGAGCTGGGGAGGGG